CATTCTTAAAGCATGTATAAATATATTCTGAACATTTTAAAAGAATTGATCAAGTAGTTTTTTTTTTATAAAAATTCCAAAAATCACCTTTTTTTAGGCCGTCACACTAGTTGTGCCCCTTAAATTGTGTTGACCAGCGAAGCGGACACAGGACCTCTTGTATATAATAAATTTAATTCAAAAGCATGGGTTTCTCATATTACTAAAAACTGAGTGAGCTTATTATTGCATATTTTGCATTTGCCGAATTTACGCTTTTAGTTTTACTCGGAAAAAAACAGAAAAAACTAGAAATATAACGGGACATCTCATGGAATAGGCAATGAGAACTGCACACGTAGTGTGACGTCGACATTGCACTTCGACTCTCTCCCTCTTTCTCTCTCTCGCAGCAACGTTGTTAAGGCTACAGCTAAAACTAATAAAGAGTAGTGACAGTGTAAGATCTTTCGTGTCGATGCTACGCACACAAGCAAAGGTGCCGATCACTAATAAATACATACATTTCTAACAGCGTGTTTTGATGCTTAAATTTGGCACTATTGCAATGTATTTTTTTTTCTGCACGACGCAATATCCGGTTAAACTTTTCAATTTTCTTGAAAAATTTCGTTCGTATAAGCGGTTTGTCGCTAAAAGCGAAAACGCTCTACATATAAGTTTGTATGGGGAGTCCCACGAAGATTAATAAAATCATATACTTTTCTGATGGGGCAAGTGCACAATATAAAAATAAAAAAAACTTTGTCAACCTTACCCATCACCGACAAGATTTTGGTTTAGACGCTGAGTGGGACTTTTTTCCAACATCTCATGGAAAAGGTGCATGCGATGGCTTAGGGGGTACCTTGAAAAGATTGGCTGCCAGATCAAGCCTCCAAAGAATAGATAACCCAATTCAAACTCCAAGAGAATTATTCGAGTGGGCAGTTGCAGCTCTTCCCAACATGTCATTGAAGTTTGTGGAAAAAGTGGAATATGATGAAGAGGAAAAAAAATTAGAAACTAGATTCAGAAAGGCTTTAACTGTCGAAGGGACTTTATCTTATCATTGTATGATACCAATAACGAAAAAGAAAGTGAAAGCAAAGCATTTTTCTTCACAGAAAAATTATTTTGATGTCAAAGTAATGAATTGATTGACATTGTAACGATGTAACGAATGTATGCTGTTTAAGTTGGATTTATACGCTATTATTGCATTATATATTCGTGTATGAACATGACATTGTAGTTATATTTGCTAATCTCTCGCGGACATCATTTATTTATCACTGGAATAAAAATTACTTTTCGACTATAATTCAATGTGTTTTCATTTCAGCCTGTAATGACTGATTCTGATAAAACAATACTATTTTGTTTAACATCATGCGTATGTTACAATTATTTTCCACTTCTTGTTGCTCGCGTCGCGCGCCGCGTGACGCATGACGCGTGCTGAAAATGATTAAATTTCTCTTGATCTAATGAAGACCCCACCTTAATTTTTTTTACTGCTTATTAAGCGAAACATAGGGATAATAAATTAATTTTTTTCAATCAAATAAGCTGTGGGGATCGGCATTGAAATGTCGATATAATGATTAATTTGTTACTAATTCTTATAAATAAAAAATTTAATTAAAAAATAAAATTACTTTTTGAAAGCTGAATTCTTGAACTAAATAATAAAAAAAAATTGTAACGATACGATTAATAGAACAAGAGATAATTCATTTAACGTGTTCAAGGATATTAAGAATATTATTGGTTGTTTAATATTGTCAAAAATCATAACTTTATAAAAAAAATTTTTTAAGCAAAATACCGATACACGTGTCTTTTTATTTTGCTTTCTACACTTGGAAAAAAATTTTCACAAAAATCGGAATTGTGACGCAAAAAAAGGTGTAAGATTTGTAAAAGAATGTCCCATATGTATATATATTTATAAAGAGTGAGAGTGCGAATCCGGGTACCGTCGTCGGCTCAGTGGAGTATTTTTACCCCCCTCCTCCTTGTCCCTTGCTCTTGCCACGTAACCTGATACGTTGGGATCTTGGGCTCGACGAGGAGTAGCTACAACGTTGCAGAAAAAAGCACAAACTTGAAATTCGCTGACCTAGAAAACCAAATAAGTCGACAAAATAAAAAAAGGAACTTACAAAATTTTAAATACTTATTATTTTTTCCCAATAAACTTAATAATCACTTTGCCCCATGGTTGCCACATCTTAAAAACAAACACACACATACACTAATATTGTCTGTCTTACAGATTCTCAACTTAATACAACAACAACACAAACATCAGTAATTATTATTACACATCCACACTTATATTTACCACTATATTTTCTCCCTATACCCAAATTTTTCCCGAACCAATTTCGTATTACACAAAAGAATTCTTTTAAAGCACAAGATATTTACCAATACCTTTAAATTTAAATAATCTAATATAGGTACTTGTATTAAATATTTTATTTATTAATTTTAATTGCGCAAATACGTAGTCTTTCACCTAATGTCAAGGAAAACCATAGTAGAAAAGACCAAAACCAGACTAGGTCTCAGGATTAGCACCAGCCTACCTGAAATTAGGGAGGAAGAAATTTTGATCATGGATTCGGGTAACGCATCGGGGGGTTCTAGAACCACTAGCACCACCAATAGTGCCGTTAACAATCTAGGGAATGCTTTCACGATCCTAAATACTTCAACTACCACCACCCTGAATACTACAGTAGAATCCGGTTATAGCGACTTTCAGGGGACCGGCGGTTTTTCGTCGTAATACCCGGAAGACGCACTAAGCAAAAGGAGCAAAAAAAAAATATTTTTTTTAATATTTTATGGTTGCTGTGTTTGTAATAGGTTTTTAAAATAAATGAAATTAATTTTTTAATTAAAACGAAAGATTTAATAAATTCAGTTCAAAAACATAGGTTTTTCTAAATACCGAAAACTGAATGAGCTTATTATTATTGCACATTTTGCATTTGGCGAATTTACAAATTCAGTTTTACTCAGAAAAAAGAAGTAAAAATTAGAATTATAAAGGGACACCTCATGGAATAAGCTATGAGGTCTGCACACGAAGTGTGACGTCGGCATTGCACTTCGACTCTCTCTCTCTCTCTCTCTCTCGCAGCAACGTTGTTAAGGCGACAGCTAAAACTAACAAAGAGTAGTGACAGTGTAAGATCCTTTGTGTCGCTGCTACGCACACAAACAAGGGTGCGGATCACTAATAAATACATGCATTGCTCACAGCGTGTTTTGATTCTTAAATTTGGCACTATTGCAATGTATTTTTTTCTGCACGACGTAATATCTGGTTAAAATTTTCAATTTTCTCGAAAAATTTCGTTCTTATAAGCGGTTTGTCGCTTTAAGCGGAAACGCTCTAAGCGGAGGCCTTTTCATATAAGTTTGTATGGGGACCAACCAAACCATCGAGTTTTCGTCGCACAACCCGGACGGACACTATAAGCGGAGTCGTTATAACAGGATTCTACTGTATTTTATATTTATTTAATTCATTCAAATATATTTTCACAAATAAAAAATTTTATATGAGCTGCAGTACACAAATGCAGTTTTATTATTATATTTTTTTTTAACGTGTGCAAGTTGAATTTTTTTCGCCAATTATAAGGCGCACTTTTATTGTTTGCAATTTTGTGTATGTTTGTTGAAGCTGTAAATTAATCAGCCCACTTACATGTTTTTCTTAAAAATTTTGAGGCTCGCTAGTTTATTTTGCTCGTTAGGCGCCAGTTATCTTATAGTTGCTAGGTGGTAAAGCTGCTCCAGATCAGGGCGATGATGAGGTGGCACCGGTAGGGTGCTTGCTGAGTAGTAGTGAGTGTCAAGATCGATGAAAATTGGCGGCCGGGCTTCTGCTCCCAGGTGGCTGCTGATGGTGTGCCACCGGTAGGGTGGTTGATGCTGTGTAAAATGAAGTTTATGTCGAGAGGGTAACTGCCCCCCTATACCCCTGGCCATATACTCAGTGGACGAATGCAAATAATATAACGGCTATAGCCGGATTAAAGTTTATGGAGCTAAGTGTTCTTTATTCAAATAATTTTAAAACAGAACTGAGGAACTCAGCTGTACGAAAAAGGGAGCTAAGTCGGCAGGCCGACCGGATGTCAGTGGAAAATGCTGATAATCGCAAAATGAGCATATCTCACCATACCGGGAACCAATGGGACCCAGGCACGGCCCCCAAAGGCGGGTATGCTGAGTCGGCATCTAGAAAGACTAGTGTGATCCAAGAATTACCCAAAATTCTTACCGACTGTTTGTTACCCCTCAGTAGTGTTAACTTAGATATATGTTTTAAGAACGTATTCAAAATATTTCAGATGAAAATTTGAAAAATTACAAGAGTTACAGGCCTTTACATGGAGCTCATATCGAGCACCGGCTATTTGAAGCCAAAACTTTAAACGCGTTTATTTTGGAACCACGTTCTCGGACTTTACTGAAGTGATTGAAGGCGTTGGGGTTAACCAATCGTCATCCAATTTTAAATGTTCCTATTTGTTTTCTTTAACTAATGAACTAGGATTATCGAAAAATATTGAAAACTGTTTATTTGAAAACCTTAAGTTTTTTTTATAAAGTTAATAACTTTTGCAAATGGCATTTTTTTTTTCTGATTCTAGTTTATTTTATGCGCAGTACTGTACACTTCCGTAAGCGGGACACCTTTTCGCCGACATGCCGCCACTGAGGAACGCCCCCTCCCACTCCTTTTTGATTTTTTCGAATTCGAAATTTTTTTCGAAAAATGAATATGTTTTCAAATAAAGTTAAAAATTTCAGCTTTTTATCTTAAACCGTTTCCACAAAACAATTTTTTGAGAACCTGCCTTAAAACCATTGTTTTTAAATGTACATTGTTATCGGATGTCGGGAATTGTAGGTTTCCACCATTCCATAGAAATGAGCTATTGCTAGTACTGTACACTGTATCCTATCTTGACACTGAAGAGTATCCTCTATGTTATCGATAATAAATGATGAAAATAAACATTTTTGGGAGATGTAACCGAAGACATTTTTAATTATTAAACTTTAATTATTGAAAATGTTCTATGAACACATAATTTTGGCCAAGAAAGGTCCGTTGGCCAGGATCTGGTTAGCAGCACATTGGGACAAAAAGATTACAAAAGCTCATGTGTTTGAAACTAACATTGAGAAATCTGTGGATGGCATCTTGCAGCCTAAAGTAAAACTAGCGCTCAGGACATCTGGACATTTGTTGCTTGGAGTTGTGCGCATTTATTCAAGAAAAGCTAAGTACTTATTAGCTGATTGCAATGAAGCATTTGTTAAGATCAAGGTAAATTCTGGTACTTCAACGACATATATATGTACCTTCATAATTCTGCTACTTCTAGATGGCTTTTCGACCAGGTATGGTCGACTTACCTGAAGGACATAGGGAAGCAAATGTTAATGCCATAACACTGCCGGAAGTTTTTCATGACTTCGACACGGCGCTGCCCGAATTAAATGATATTGATATTGAAGCTCAATTTTCTATTAATCAGTCTAGAGCTGACGAAATAACAATGAGAGAAGATTACGGCAGTATGTCGCTCTCCCTTCAGGATGACGGCTTTGGCGATATAGGTTTCGAAGCGGAAACGCCCGAAATCATCCGGGGATCAATTCCTTCAAATATCAATGTAAGTATTTAGGAAATAAGTTTAAATGCGATATTTACCATTTATTATAACCCGTCTTTCTTCGGTTTTACGTTTAAAATGAGTTTTTATATTTGTGCACACCGTTGCCAGGGAAGATACCTATTTAAAATATTAACGTCACTGTTTTAAGTACAATAAGTACAAGTTTCGTGTTATCGTATTTTAAATGTCGAATTAAATTTCTTTCAAACTAAATATACCTGCTATAAACTTTACCAGAAAGTTTGCAGGAAAACATAAACGCAGTCGTAATAATTTTCAATAAGTTTTTTTAAAATTAATTAAATTCTTGCTAAGTACAGCTGCGCTGCAAAAATGTACACATGATCACGCTTTGCATTCTATTTTTAGAAAGTCCCGTTAGATTTACAGACAAAACCGGTTTGCCATTAAGAAGTTTGAACATTTTATAGACAATTTGCTTGTAATTTTTTTCTATTCGTTGTTATCACTTTTTTTTTTTTTTTGGCCTCTGGCGGAACCACAGTGAACCTGTTCTGTCATAATGTCCTTGCCCGCACATTGCGGTGATCAGGCGATTGACTTACATTTTCAAATCGCAAGTTGCTGAGGAATTTTCGGAAAGTAAAGACATTACATACAGTGGCCCGCAGCTTATTTCGTGCAGTTACCATAAAAAAGTTCTAATCGTTATTCTTGCTAAACTAAGAAAGATATCAGAAAAATTTAAATGCAGTATTTTAATATGGAATATTAACTTATTTATTGAACGAAAGCGATTTTCTTAATTATAAAAACAAAAAGAAAATAATAAAAACAAATTGTACAGGCTTTTTTCATGCCGCAGCTTATTTCATGCAGCAGATTCTACTTAACATATTCTAAGTAGTTTAACAGCTACAATTTTGTATGTCTTTCTTTCTGGTTCAGGACAGCTTTGAGACGATTTTCCATGGAGCAAACTAACTTTTTAGTGGTTATCACTGAAATTTTTCGCCATTCTTCCATAAGAACAGTTTTCAGATCGTTTTTGGTCGAAATCTTCCGCTTCATTCCCATAAATTTTCGATCACAGTTCCAGATAAGCCAAGACTTCACAAGTCCTGCTGAATGCTTCGGTCGCGTATGCCCAGTTTTTCAGCTGTTTGGAGTAGGTTATCCTTTAAAATGTTGAGGTACATTGTGGCATCCATGATGCCATCAATGAAAATGAGGTTGCCTACGCCAGAGGATGCCATACAGGCCCAAACAATGACGCGACCCCCGCCATGTTTGACCGTGGGTTTCAGGTGCTTATTTTCCAACTTTCGTTCAATAAATAAGTTAATATTCCATATTAAAGTAATACTATTGATTCGCCCTGTCTTTTAATTAACGTTTTTCGGTATAAATTTGTTCCTGTTACAACACCCTTAAGTTATTGGTATTATTAAGATATTGTTTTAGGTTTCGGGTAAATAGTTATTTAGTACTGCTGATAAAGGAAAAGGGATTGCTACTTTCTTGACCCCAAAAATAAGCAATATTTATTTGGTGTTCACAAATTTTTTTTGATCGTTAAAAAAATTGTAAAATCATGCTTGAGGTATTAAAAACATTTTATCATTATCGTTTCAGTCCATGATTTATAAATATACATGTCGATCTTTCCTATGGCAGATATGTGATATAATTATCAAATTTTTAAAAAATAGGATTCGAATTTCAAAAGTAGTTAGAAAACACTATCTGGGAGAAATCAAGTCGATATGATCAAAAACAACGGGGTGGAATTTTTTTTTTTCAATATCTCGTATAGAAGGATTCTATATGCTTTATGGAGTCTGAGGTGTCTCATTCACTGCATTGCAAGCTTGTGTCTGAAATTATAATGCCCTTTGCAAGGGTATAAAAATTACGATGGCGGTATTTAAAAAAAAAAATCGAATTTTACCCAAAATTTTGGTCGTTTTTGGCCTGCCAAAATTCCATTTTTGATCAGATCAAAACATCGATAGGTCATTGTAGGGAGAACTATATATAGAACATGTAAAAAAAATTTGATAGTGATCGGATCATTAGTTTTTGAGTTATCACTGCAGCAAATTCAGAAAATGCTGTTTCGAGAAAAACGCATTTAAAGATAAAATGATAGCTTGCACTGTTATGAGAGCGGCTGCTCTTAAAATTGCTATAACTCAAAATCTATTTGAGATATCGATTTGAAATTTTAATATGTTATTTTTAAAGGTGTAATCTACCGAAATATGAAAAAAAAGAAAGATTTTTTTAAAATGTCACACTAGTTGTGCCCCTTAATGGCACATCCTTTATTTTGATGACTTTTGTTCTGGTAATAAGTAGCGAAGGCCGTTGTCATCTTAGACACTGCTGTATATGCTGTACTTTTCGTAGCAAATCCGCCATCTCCGTAAAGAAGGGGTAAGGTAATGGATAGGGTTACGATCCATGTTCTAGTAACGGGCATCTGATGGTCGGGGATCTCTACGTTCTCTTGCCTTAACTTTATATGTATTTAAGACTTTTCCGACATTGTTATTAAAAATCTGTTTACTACATTGCTTTAGGATAAACTCTTTGATAGTGACGTATTGGAGAATATTGAGTCTTTGGATCCACATGGAAGCGTGGACCAAGCAGATATATCCGGTGCCAGATTAGACGGGGATGGATTTGGAGACTCTTTTGGACGTAAGTTAAACCCTAAGATAACATTTTTATATTATATATATGTACATCTGAATCTTTTCCTTCTGACCTGCAGAAGTTTTTAAAACGAACATCGACTCGCTAGAACTTAAATGTAGAAAACGACTAAAAATCAGAAATCTATGGTTCTAAAGATGTTTCCTATTGTTAGTTCTTAAAGTGTACTCTATATATTTCATATATATAAATCATTTCTAGTTTTTGCGAACTTTCCATTTATTTTCTTATTTTTATGGCAGTATACGACATGGAAGTTCGATCTTTACTTAACTTTTAAATAACGTTTGACATAATAGTAGAATACTCAGAGTTCCAATTCAATCGTAGTTAAAAACTCTATATTCCGAAAAGCATGTTTGTATGATAAAAAACTACAACGTTATAATTGTTTTATACCCTTTCAAGGGGTATCATAATTTAAGTCAGTTTGTAACGCAGATAAGAACATGTCAGACACTATAAAGTATGTATTGTCTTGATCAACATGACCATCTAAATTTATCTGATGAGTTCGTCTGTCCGTCTGTCTGTAAATATATAGAACCTAGCTCTCAGGTTTAAACTTTATCGAAAGTTTGGCGTTATTGCACACAGAATATATAAGTCGGAACGGGCCAGATTAGAGAAATCAGAGAATGATTTTGTTTCACTCCCACTTACGTATTATTGGGACCATATAGATACAAGGGATTATCACTAGGCAATAAAAGATTGCTGCCATGAGCACATATCGAAAACAACAGCTTCTTTGCACTGGAATACCTTTACCGGATATTGAATAAACGGACAACAATTCATAAAATGCAGGGAAACAATTGAAATGTGCTCACCAAATTACCGTTTGAATTTTACTTACTTTACCACTTAAATCACGCAAATTAATATAATTTTTTTTGTTTTATTTTTTTGATTTTTTTTTTTTATAAAACCAATTTTATAAGACCAATTAGAGTAAAACTAACTGAGTTCCAGCGTTTTAAACGAATGATTTAAACGTATTTTGACCTATAAAAATAATATTATTTTATTATTTTGAAAATTGGTAAACATCGGAACTGAAAATTTACTGATCCGATCATTTTCAAATTTTTAATACAAATTCTCCACATAAATATGCAGGTAATCAGAAAGAGTTTTTTTTTTATTTTTTTCTATTTTTAAAAAATAAATTAACAGCCATTTTATTTTTAGCTAAAATCACACTTTTCACTTTCAAGTGCTCCAAAAATAGACAAAAAAAAATATATATTTTTTTTTTTAAACACTTCCTGATTACCCGATATATATATTTCCTTTAAAGCACATATCACTTTTTTTTTTTTGTTAAGATGATCCGTTAACGAGTTATGATGTTCACCGCCAAACAACTTTTTTTCTAGGCGCTTCTGAAGATTAAGCATCACTGGCTTATTTCTAAATATTTTTCATTCAAATTGTTTCCTAATACTCTTCAATAGTTGAACAATAGTACCTATGTAATTTAAACATACACATACATAAACAACACAAATACAGCCTTTTTTGGCCTTTAAAACCTTTTTAAACCACTTAGGCTGCGATATTCAATTTTGTTACTATGTATTTAATTTTTCAGAATTTATCTGATAAACTATTAAAGACTCCACAGCTTCACCTGCGAAGAATAAGTTTGCGAAGATTAAGTTTAAGTTTAATTATACCCTTGCAGAGCAAAAGTGTATTATAATTTCAGTCAGAAGTTTGCAACACAGTGAAGGAGACACCTCAGACCCAATAAAGTATTTATATTCTTGACCAGCATTACAATCAGAATCGAAATACCTATGTATGTTTCTCTTCAAACTAGTCTCTCAGTTTTAAAGCTATCTTACTTAAACATAACCGAAAAATTGTGTAGTTATTGCGCGTAGTATATAAGTCGAAACGGGCCGGATCGGCCGACTATATCGGATAGCTCCCTTACGAGAGAATGAAATAAAAAATTCTTACTCCGTTGTTTTTTATCAGATCGACTTGATTTCTTCCAGATGGCGTTTTCTAACTACTATTGAATTTCGGATTAAATTTTGTCAAAATCGGATAACTCTATCATATAACTGCCATTGGATTTCTAACGACTCTTGAATTACGAATTGAATTTTATCAAAAACGGACGACATTTCATATAGTAGTCGAAAATATGAAAAAATTTATAGAAAAATCGTCAAAACTTCGATTTTGTTTAGCCTTTGTGTATTTTGTTTGACATATTTTATGACTGCAAGGGTATTAAGCTTCCGTTTGCCGAAGCTTCCTTTCGTGTTTTTTAACTACTGTCGAGTTTCGAATTAAGTTTTTATCAAAATCGGCTGCCATAGGAGAGATCGAAAAATATAGGGTAGAATCTGCTTATAGCGACTTTCAAGGGACCGACGAGTTTTCGTCGTTATACCCGGAAGACGCACTAAGAAAAGGATTTTTTTTTTTTTTTTCGTCATAGCTTTGTTGTTTTTTAGCCTTTATATATTAGGTTGCTTGGTGATGACGCGAGCTCGGATAGTTATGCACGAAAAAAGGCCAAAATATGCATGCAAATATGCACGAAAAATAGCAAAATATGCTCAAGAATATGCATTCAAAAATACAATAAAATATGGAAGAATCATGCAAAAAATAGTCATAATATGTTGGAAAAGGCGGTTCTTTATTTAAAAGCTAAAGTTTTGCACAGATTTACATTGAACTTCGACAAATTTGGTGTGGTTTTGGTTCAAGATCCGATTTTAACGATTGGCTTCCCTGATCGGCATTTTCCTTCCTTCTATCTTTGGCAGCTTTGTGTTTTAATGATGCAATATGCTAATTTACTTGGAATATTTTTTTCCTTGAACTGCACAACACAATAACATTCACAATAACAATCACAAGATTCATACGCAATATAAATTTGATTTGAAGTTGATTTGAAACAACCGATAACTTTGAATTCCACGAGACAAATGATAATTTAAGAATATAATAAAGCGTTTATTATGATTAGTCATTGAGAATCCATTAATAAGTTATCAATATACCTAGTGTTATCATTTGATGAAAATAAACAACGTGAAAGTCAATTTACTTTCAATTCCACGCAATAATCTTATACACAATTAGATAGATTTGTAATAGAATGTATTAAGTTTTTTGTTGTTATCAGAATGATTTTTATATGTCACATCTAAATTATTATCAGTTTTGATGAATGAAATATTAAAATATGCTCGAACTTGCACTTTCGGTCAAAATATGCTCTAAGGCAGTATTTCCCTAAGTGTGGGTCGCGACCCACTGGTGGGTCGCGGGTAGATTTTTGGTGGGTACGAATTGCCATATAGATCTTGCAATTTTTTGTGTAGGTGGGTCGCGGTCCCGACAAGTTTGGGAAACACTGCTCTAAGGAATGAAATATGCACAATATGCATGCAACATGCATTTGCATGACTATCCGAGCTCTAGTGTTGACATACCGGTTTTAACATTCAAATTTCGCGCTTCGCTTGTGAAGTCAAATATAATCGATGGTTCTAATCGTCACATGACGATCTCGATCCACTATTTAAATGATTTTATCCGTATTAACGGTCACTGGTCGTCCGGAAGGCTTGGGTGTTTCGGTATCAAAATTGCCACTTCGGAATCGCCTAAACCACTGTTCGGCGGTTTGAATCGAAAGTTTGTTATCTCCTAAGACAGCAACAATCGGTCTGCGAGATTCCGCAGCAGTTTTTCCCTGTGCGAAATAAAATTTTAAAATTGCTCGAGTTTCTGCGTTTGTAATTTTTTAACGTGGAAGCTCGTGTAAGCAATTTATATGTCAAGGTGATGCCAATACCTTTCAAACGATATACAGCATTGCCAGATACGATTATATTTGACTTCACAAGCGAAGCGCGAAATTCTGATAACTCTATCATATAGCTGCCATAGGAAAGATCGAAAAATATGTATATAAGTAATGGCAAAAAAAATATAATAAAGTTGTTGTTTTTTGGGGGACGGTGGCCCAGCAGGTAGAGCGCTGGCCTCCGGTCCGGAAGGCCCGGGTTCAAGTCGAGCCCCAGGCTCCCCGAGAAAAAAGAGACGGTCTCTTTTTCCAAATCTCCACCACTTCTATGCTCTATCGCTCACTTAACATTAGTAACAAATTTCGGCTCCCAACAATAGAACTTTCGTCACTCCTAGATGGCGCCTGGTGGCAACCCCACCGCTAGGATAAGTCGTTACTGGCTTATCACCGGTACGATCGAAAATCAATGATAATGAATCCTCTACAAGAAATTGTAGAGGCTCTAAGCTCCCGGGTGGAGTATAAAGAATGTAAATTTTTTTTATCCCAAGGGCATGGTTTTTGAAACATCAAATTTTTAATAATTCTTCAATCAAAAAAAAAAAAAAAAAAAAATCATAAAAATCGGACAACTATATCATATACATATGTAGCTGCCATAGGAAAAATAGAAAAAATATGTATAGAAATAAAGGAAAGAAATGATAACATAGTTGTTTTTCATCGCTCAAAAATAACTTTCTGCAAGGATGTATAAGCATCGGCATGCCGAAGTAAGTTTCCTTTCTTGTTTTTTAGTAGTAGTAGCTAAAAATCAAAAATTGTATTTGCATATTTGAGGTGGTTTAATTTTTTTAGGTTTTTACTTACACAAGATGAATTGTTTTTTATAGAGCCCGAACTTTTTGAAGATGATCTTTTTGGTGAACCTTCGCAGCCAGTTGAACAGATTGGTAAGGCTTCTAAAGAAATTATTGTCGCCGAAGATTCCGATGAAGATGCCATTGATACTGCTAATACCGTTCCGTCGCCTACCACATCGTGTATTAACTCAGTTATTGATGAAAAAAGTGGTAAACATTTTAGTATTTGAATAAAAGTTACAACAAAGTTTAAATTTGAAAAAAATACTCTTTAATAGAAACTAATTTGCACGAACACGGCAATGTGACTGAAAATTTGCCAATAAATGAAATAACTCTTGTTCAACACGAGGATGAGGGATTCGCTTTAGCTCCTGTTGATGCAACTAGTTATAAAGGCGTAACAAAAGCTAAACGCAAACGAAAACTTATTATTGATGAAATAAAAAATATTTCTGGAGAAGAAATGAAGGCTCAGTTGGCCGATACTTCAGATATATTAACTACACTAGATTTGGCCCCACCTACAAAAAGGTATAACGTAAATAGAATTATACTTATTAGATTTCTAATATTCTTTTCTTTTAATCTTAGACTTATGTATTGGAAAGAAACTGGAGGTGTCGAAAAACTGTTTTCATTACCATCAAGATGCATCCCAGCCAGATCCTTATGTAATAATTACAATAGGCAGTTGTTTTCCCATTCAACACTTTTTGAGGACTTTTCAAGTGTTGCTCCAATGGAAATTCTAGCATTGGAATTTTATGCTCAAGAAAACGATAATTCATTAATTATTTTAAATAAAAAAGGACGCAAACGAAAGAACGATCTATCTCATAACCCGGATCATGCACCAGATACATTAATTCAGAGCTTAGAAGCTCCAGAGGTTGTGAGAGAAGACCAAAAATCTTTAGGGTTATCCGCAGTTTCTATAGATATCACAGCAAGAGATCAAGAAAGTAGGGTTTGCCAAAATGAATCAGCTTTCGATAATATGCAAAGTCCGGATCTTTTATCCTTTAATGATATGGAACATTTCTCATCAATAAATGAACTGCCCTTAACCCCAAGAAATACGAGTCATGACATGGGAGATGATTTCAACCAAGGAGATTCAACGCCAGCTGGATTAGATCATGGTGAAACGACTCCGCAGCACACAAATATTGGCGAGATGAACAATATTCCTATTATGTCAACAGAACAAATAAGCGCCATATTTAATGAATCTATCGAGCAACCTTTGTTGAATGATAACGGGTTCTTAAAAAAACCAAGCAATTTTTCGAAAGAATGGCAAAACTACGAAATTCCAACCTTTGTTGGACAGGTAAGTGCGGAAATATATTGAAAACTAACCAGAAGCCATAAAAAGAGGCTTTATTTGTGTTTTTTTGAGGCGAAATGTCTAATTTAATTTTTTTAAGTTTAATGACATATTATTATTCAACTTTCGAAGAGTTTAAAAAAAAAAAAAATTTATTAAAATTTATTTCAAAAAATTCGATTTTAAAATATTGAAATCACGTCTAAAAAAAAATTGCCATTTTTTCGTCTTTTTTTTTTTGCTAAATTGGGCTGAAAAGTGTATAAAATAACTTTTTTTTTCACAATTTCAGATATTCATGCACTCGTTCAATGTATAATCTGCAAAACACTTTTTAGAAATCAAAAATCGGTTTAGTAGTTTTTTCGTAATCGTGTACCGCGTTTTTAAAATCATAGTTTTGAGAAAAAACGATTTAAAGTTTTGAGTTAGCACACAAAGCGCGCCCGAGCGCGCTCGTTCAATCACTCATATTTTCCATAATATTGAGTCATAAAACTTTGGGAATATACTCTCAAGACGTTATTCTATCGATTTATGAAAAAAAAAAAAACAATTTTTTTTTTTTAAATTTTACATGAGAAGCCCCCCTTAAAGTATTTTTATACACCAAAATACGGTCGTTTAAAACGCTGTAAATCCGTTAGTTCTCGGCTTCTTTGAAACCTGTTCGTTTGTCCTCCTGTCTGATTCCATGTAAACTATTGGGTTGGCAAGAAAGTCATGTCGTTTTTTCAATATTTTCAAAGATGATTTATATATATCAGGACTTATAATTAATCAATTATGTATTGGCCGTTTTGTTCGACCACTAATGACCATCTCTCGGGCAGATGCATAATTCTGCGCTCGAAGAACTTTTGGTCTTTTCCAGCAAAGAATCTATACAAGTGGTTTTCGACAGCCTCATCTGAATCAAAGTTTTTACCATTCAAAGAGTTTTGAACAGAACGAAACAAATGGTAGTCTGAAGGTGCTAAGTCCGGACTATAAGGTGGATGTGGTAGCACTTCCCAATTCAGCTCCGTTAATTTTTGCCGAGTGACCAAAGATGTGTGGGGCCTAGCGTTGTCATGGTGAAAGACTATACCCTTGCGATTAGCTAGTGCCGGCTCCTTTTCTTTAATTTTTTCCGCCAAATTGAAAAGCTGGCGACAGTACACATCTGAATTGATGATTTTATTTCGTCCCAGCAGCTCAATTCCACCAAACAGACAGCATAACTTTCCTCTGATGGATATCGGCCTTTGATGTGGCTTGGGCTGGCTCATCTTTCTTGCTCCATGATCTTTTTCGTTGGACATTATTGTAAGCAACCCACTTTTCGTCGCCAGTAATGATCCGCTTCAAAAAGGATCGTTTTTAATTCGTTGCAGCAGAGAATAGCAGATGTTGATATGCTTAGTTAGGTGAATTTCCTTTAAGTTATGCGGAACCCAAACATCGAGCTTGCTTACGTAGCCAAGTTTCTTCAAATGGTTTTCAACCGTTTTATGCGACACACTGAGCTTCTCTGACATCTCCCGCGTTGAATAACGCCGGTTTTCATCCAGCAAAGCCTGAATTTGTTCGTCAAAAACGGCCGATGGTCGACCAGAACGTGGGGCGTCTTTAACTCCAAAATCTCCAAGCATGAATTTGGCAAACCAGCGCTGACATTAGCGATCACTCATTGCATCTTTACCATACACTTCGCACAATTTTTCGCGAGCTTCGACCGCTTTTTTCGTTTTTGGAAGTAAAAAAGCAAAATATGCCGAAAATGCTCACTTTGGTCCTCCATGTTTAATTTGCTATAGCTTCCACAAATGTTATCGAATAATTACCAAATTTTCGTCGATAGTACCTAAGACAATAAGCTTTAAAAAGATACTAAAAAGTGTGACCCTGGTGCTCGATTAGTCGTAAATAAATTAGATTAAAAACGATTACTAAAAAAAACGACATTACTTTCTTGCCAACCCAATAGTCTCTCAGTTTCAAGGGGCTATCTTGGTCTGGAGCTGACGTTATTTGTTCCTATTGGTTCTTGCTTCCGAAATTGCTGATGTCTTTGTCGCCGTTGGCCAAACTTAACTATAATTGGCCGATTTACTATTAGTCATTGTTGTTGGATGCTCTTGCTTCAGTTCAATCAACTTTGGGGATTTGGTTAAGCGTTTCCCACGATCGATGGTCAAGAAGGTGCAAGCCCAGCGCACGTGTCATCCGATCTTATTATTGTTATTGTTGGATGCACTTTCTTTAGTTCAATCAACTTTGGGTGCTCATTGTTAAGCGTACCCATGATCGTAAAGTGCAAGCTCAGTGCGCGTGTCATCGAACTAATTAAGGACATGGTATTGCAATTTGATATTTCCTTAATTGCGCAATCTATGCTCACCCTATCTTTTATTTTCTTGATTTTATTTTTTCGGGTGTTTCAGAAGTTTGCAACGCAGTGCAAAACACACCTCAGACCCCATAAAGTACATATATTCTTGATCAGCATCACGATCAGAATCGAAATACGTCTGTACATCTGTCCTCCTGTCTGTTTCTATGTAAACTAGACCCTCAGTTTTGAAGCTACCTTGATAAAACACTCGAAAAGTTGTGTAGTTATTGCACGCAGTATATAAGTCGGAACGGTCAGGATCGGTCGACTATAACGGATTGCTCCCATACAAGTGAATGAAATAAAAAATTGTTTTTGATCAGATCGACTTGATTTCTTCTAGGTGGCGTTTTCTAACTACTATGGGGCCGTCCATAAACCTCGTGACGCTAATTTTTGGCTTTTTTGACCCCCTCCCCCCTATGTGACGCATTACAAAAACAAATTACAACCTCCTTATAACAAAGCGTGGCTCTCTGATGAACCCCCCCCACCCCCTAGGAGCGTCACGAGGTTTATGGACGGCCCTATTGAATTTCGGCTTAAATTTTATCAAAATCGGATAACTATCATATAGCAGCCATCGAAAATTATATATTTAAATATTGGGGAATCAAATTATAGCGTCGATGTTTTTAATGTCACGAGTATGATTTTCAAAATATGGAGTTTTTTAATAACACTTGAATCGACTGTTTGACTTCGGCTTGCCGAAGCAAGCTTCCTTTCTTGTTGGCATAAACTTTGACCCTATCTCGGCCTATAAAATAAGTTTTAATTGAAAATAATAAAAATCCTTCGTTCAACGACAACAAAAACATGTCTAAAAGAAGTGTGCAAAAGGAGAAAAGTCGATCGATGCAATAGCTTTCGAAAAAATGTAACTACCGATTTCAAAAAAGTGGTTTGAGAAAAACGCGTTCAAAGTTTCAACGTGTATCTTGAAACACTCTGGAAAAACCGCTCTTTAGATCTCCCCATTCGTAAAGTTTTCCTGCGATCGACTTGAAGTTTTCGGACAACATTCCTGACACTTTTTACTATTATATTAAAACTTTTGAAAAAAATGAATTTTTTGAAAAGACAAGACCAGGATAACCCCTCAAAGCTATATTGTTCAAACTGTAACAAAAGTTGTGTAGTTATTGCACGCAGTATATAAGTTGGAACGGGTTGGATCGGCCGACTATTTTGAATAGCTTCCATACGACAAATTGAAAAAAAACTATCATAATAATTTATTGTTTTTTTTTTATTTTATCGATTTGATTTCCTTTAGATGGTGTTTTTTAACTACTACCGAATTTCGGACAAAATTTTATCAAAATCGGATAGCTGCCATATGAAAGATAAAAAATATATATAAAAATAATGGCAAAAAATTGATACCGTTTTTGTTTTTTTTCTCGAGTTTTTAAACTGCCCCTGATTAAAAAAAATAATTTTATAAAAAAAGAAAAACTATATCATATAGCTGTCATGGGAAAGATAAAAAAAATGTTTATACAATTAAAGTAAATTAACAAAAAAAATAAACAACGTTGTTGTTTTTCATCAGACAAGCATAATTTTTGGAATAAATAGTTTTCGTATGACTCTTAAATTTTTAATTAAATTTCATAAAAATCGGACAACTAAACCATATAGCTGTCTTATGAAAAAATGGTCGAAAAAATAGAAACTTCATAGACAAATCGACATAGTTTTGATGTTGTTTGGCCTTTATGAATTCTGTTCGAATTATTTGACGACTGCAAGGTTGTATAAGCTTTGGCTTGCCAATGCTAGGTTACTTTCTTGTTAGTATTAAAAAAAAATAATTCACTAAAAAGATGCGAACGAAAAATAAATTAAACGGATGAATGTGGTAATGAATTTGTTGACCATTTAGTAATACGAAAAAAAAAAAATGTTTTATTTCATCCCTGAATTGCGTTAGTTGGTGGAATGACCATAAAATATGATTTTCATCAACATATTTATTTAAATGACAAATTTTGTCAATATCAGCAATAGCCTGGGACAAAGCTTGTTTTCGGACAGTTCCTCTTCAATTCAAAAAAATTCACAGTATACAAAGTTTTTTTTGTTACTTTACAGACATCTACAGATAAAGATAGAAAAAAAATGGTGACCTATAAGTCCAACGGTCCTTATTTATGCCTTAAAACCCAGACTTTTTATAAAATGACCGTTAAAGACACACAACATGCTATAAGACTTGTGTCGTCAAATAATCAGTATAAATTTTTAATTGTGTTCTTTTTTATTATTTACAGAATCACAGTGACGAACAAATGGAAAATGAAACTGATGAACAATTTGAGGAACGTGTCTTAAATAAAAGAGCAGCACAACTCTTTATTGATGTTAGAACACATTTTATCGTTAAAGAAAACTTGTCTCTTTCTCAACTTACTGCACAAAACTCCAGAAAACAGGTAAAAATAAACACATTATTATGAAAATAAATTTTTTTTCCTAAACTAAATAATATGCACAGTACTGTACACTTTAAGAATCTTTTTGGTTTTTGTGTTTCCGATCACCCGTTTTGGCTGAATCACTTCCGTAAGCGGGACACCTTTTTGCCGAAATGTTGCAACTGAGTAACGCCCCCTCCCGCCCCTTTTTTGATTTTTCAATTTTGAAATTTTTTTCGCAAAATAAATATGTTTTCAAAGGAAGTTAAAAATTTCAGATTTTTATCTTTAACCGTTTTCTCAAAACAATTTTTTTAAAAAAAAATGTAAATTTTTCGACCCTACAAGGTGAGAACCTGCCTTAAGGGGGTCTTCCTATGTGACGGCCTGTTTTTTAGGGTTATTTTAGGATTTTTTTCTACGACCAGTAAATATTTAGAGCTTCAAGTTTTTTTATCATTTATTAACACATATTTGGACAGTATAAATAAAAAATTTCAGCAAAAAATATTCGGTCAAACTAGAGTTACAGCGCTCTGAACACCCCCGCCTCGAAAAAAAGAGCTCCCACTTCCTCCACGATTCCGGCTGATCGGCTTATCAGAAAAAAAAAAAAAATAAACGGCGTTTTAATTTGTAGGCTTAAATGCACGGAATGAACTACAATCAAATGAATATAAAAAAAATTGGATTTTTGATAGACATTTGAAAAAAAGTTGCAAATTTGGCGTTTTTTTTTTTTTTTTTTGGCTATAAAAAAATCGAAGTTTTGAAAATTTTCGATTGATAATAGTTCATTTCATGCGTTTACATATATTGAGTGTGCCCTGTAAATTTCAAGTAATTCGGTCCAGCCGTTTCTGAGATACAATGGAGGAAAGTTTGAAAAACACAGTTTTGAGAAAAACGAGTTTAAAGTTTCTAACTGCCAACTCAGCGCTTCGAACCGCTCTTTCTTTTACCTGCTGTATCTTTAAAACGACTTCGAATTTTCTAAAATCGCTTTACTATTGTATTCTAGACATGTTAAGGGAGCAATTTATGAAAAAAAAAAAAATCGATTTTTTCAACCCATCACATAGGAAGACCCCCTTAAGGGGCACAACTAGTGTGAGATTTTAAAAAATTCGAATTTTTTTTTGATTTTTCAGTAGATTACACCTTTGAAAATGACATATTTAAATTTCAAATCGATATCCCAAATAGTTTTTGAGTTATAGCAATTTAAAGAGCAGCCGCTCTCATAACAGTGCAAGCGATCATTTTATCTTTAAACGCGTTTTTCTCGAAACAGCATTTTCCGAATTTGCTGCAGTGATTACTCAAAAACTAATGATCCGATCACTACCAAATTTTTTTTAAATGTTCTTTATATAGTTCTACGTACCATGAACTATCGGTTTTTTGATCCGATCAAAAATCGAATTTTGGCAGGCCAAAAACGACCAAAATTTTTGTTAAAATTCGACTTTTTTTTTTAAAACGCTGCCATTTTGTCATTTTTTGATATTTTTTTTTTTATCGTAGTTCATGGTATGAAAAATGTTATCTAGTTTAACGAGAATTTTTTGATTTCGTCCACGGAGAGGGCCGGAATCACTGCAGCAGTTAAGGCACTTTTTTTTTAGCGCCGTTGGAGATCGACTCTAACTTAAAAAATATTTAACTTTTTTCTTTAAAAATTTCACTATACATTCTTAAAACATGTATAAATATATTCTGAAAATTTGAAAGGAATTAATCAAGTAGTTTTTTTTATAAAAATTCCCAAAAATCACCATTTTTTAGGCTGTCACACTAGTTGTGCCCCTTAATCCAGAAGCTTGCAAAGCAGTGAATGAGACATCTTCGACCTTATAAAGTGTATATATTTTTAAAAAGTATCACCATCTGATTCGGTCAAGAAGTGTAGGCGGAGGAAGAGGCGTCTACTTTTAAATACCCGTTACTTGGAAAAACCATTTTAACAGACATGACAATTTTAGTAAAGATCTCAACGAAGCCGCATTTTCTGCAGATATAACAGAATTAATTTGTTGACTTTGTTAACTTTTTTTTTAATTACGGTGTTTTATTTATCGATCCTCTCTTAGAGACTGACGGTAAATATTCAAAGGGCAAGGTTGTCTGTTTGGGATAAGGTGACGTGTTTGCTCTTTTGCTCATTAACCTTTATGCGCCAATCTGCTAGCCATTTCTCCAAATGCTAAAAAAAAAAAAAAAATATGGTGGGGTTGCCACCTAGAGCCATCTAGAAGTGGCGAAGTTTTATTATCGTGTTCACAGTAACGTGGACGAGGGGGCGTGCGGGTCCGGGGATCCGAAATTTGTTACTATTGTTCAGTGAGCGATAGGGCATAGAAATGATAGAGATTTGGAAAAAGAGACCGTTTCTTTTTCTCGGGGAGCCTGGGAATCGAACCCAGGCCTTTCGGTTCGGAGACCAGCGCTCTACCTGCTTGTCCACCGACCCCCCTATGCCCAAACTGAGCTGATAAATGTTGGGTTGCTATAATGGGATACTTAGAACGACTTAGAATAACAGTATTTTATGGGTGTTCTGTGGAAGCAATGTTTTAATTTAATAAATCAAGCCGTCCAAGCAAACGCGTGAGAAAGCCTGGGCGTCATCTAGAAAGACTAAGGAACAATACTCTTGACTTTCAAATGTATTTCTTATCTCGGAGGTTATTCGGTTGCGTGATTCTCTGGAAAACCAAATTGGTGGCTTGGGATAGCATTATGGGACTGTTGGTGTTGCTTTATATAATTGAGAAGCAGCTTTTAAAGCATCTTTGATGGACACGGCAGGAGACTGCTTGGCATATACGAGGTGTGCCAATTAGCTTCCAGGAATTTAGTTATAATTAGAAAAGTGGCATCACTACATTGTTTGTTTATGCATGTCTAGAGGGCAGTCATCTTTCTTAAGCTCGAGTGAAAGTTTGAAGTCGATCACACGTTCAGTTTGTGTTTTATGGGTGTTTCTCGGTAGTGCTTTTTTAAGTTGCGTCACGAAAATAAGTCATTTTCCATCCAAGCAACGTGTCGTGATCTAATCGGTCTATCGGTTGTGCCTTAGTTCATGGCGAACCTCGGTATTCCAACGTTGCCGCAGCCACCCTATAGCCCTATTATAACCCCCTGAGACTTTTTCTTATTCCCTACGATGGGGTCATACCTCAAGGGAATGGCGTACGGTAGGTCAAGGAAGCCGTGGTGAAGGTGCTGAACGGTTTACCTTCGGAGGATTACCAAGGGTGCTTCCAATCGTGGGAGCAACGTTGGAAACGTTATGTAGAGTTAAAGGAAGGCTATTGTGAAGGTTAATAATACACTTTCGATTCAAACTTGATTTGTTCTTATTTTATGAAAGAATTCCCGGAACTTAATTGCCACACCTCGTATAATGAAGGCTGGGGCTTGTCCCTTCCGGCTTTATGGATCATAGTGATGACAGATTTTTTCCATTGTTGTGCCTAAAAGTCCCATTTCATCATAGTGTTGAATATCTGGTCAGAAGATTTACTGCACAGTTCAGCAATTCATAATCGTCAGTTAATTGATTTGCCCAGAGGCCCGTCTGCTTTTAAAAGGATTACAAACCGATATAAGAGGGGCGCAGTGTTGTGCAGCTAGTCACATAATGTCAATCTCTTACATGTTTGGGAAGCCATTAATAGGGGAACTTACATACTTTCTGTATTGAAACCAAATAATAGAAAATGTGTGCGTTTTTGAAGCTGTGGATGGTCGTACAGTTGAAGTAAAATGGGCCCGTGATCCGGTGGAAGATCTCTTAAGGCTGTTTCTTACTTTTGGGGGAAAAAATCGTATAGATATATGTTCCAAAAATCTGCTCAAAAAACCAAAATTTAAAAAATTACAAGAGTTTCAGACCTTTACATGGAGCACATGTCAAGCACCGGCTTCAACAGCCAAAACTTTAAACGCGTTTATCTTAGAACCACGGATCTTACGGAAACGATTGACATACTGATTGTCGGTATTTTCAATAAAAAGGTCCGAATTGCAAATTATACCCTTGCAATGTACTATATTTTAATTCAGAAACTTGCAGTTTCAAACTGAGAAAGCTATCTCGATGGAAATGTACCAAAAGTTGTTTAGTTGAAGGAGACACCTCCGACCCCATAAAGTAGGGGAGATGTGGGGGTTGTGGGCATAGTTTTGTTTTTGGCTTATAATTCCCGAACTAGTGCATATTATTTGGACATATGGGTATCTGTGTAAAGCTAGAGACCTAAGCTAACTAATTATGAAGAAACATACTTGATTTTGTCATGCGAAAAAATTTCATATGGACTTTTGTAAGATCGTAATTTTTAGCTAAAATTTTTTTTTGGGGGGGTTGTGGGCACCCTGGGAAAAATGCTGCAAATGGAATAATATAGGAAAAAAACCGCAACCAATATCAACAAAATGACAATTTATTTATTTCACGAATATTCTGAAAGCCGAAATATAAAGAATAAAGCGTGGAATTCTTAGTGATAATCTATATCTTACGAATATTCTGGAAGCCGAAAAATGAAGAATAAAGTGTGAAAATCTTAGTGATAATCCCTCTCAGCGGGAGAGGATCCTTTTCCAAGAGCCTAAGATTTCTACAAGAATGTTCTAGAGCAGGGGTGCTCAAGATCGTCTTATGGCAGTGCGTTTACTAACACATCCACAAGAAAACGTGTACATATGTAGCGGCGCGTTTGTGTTGGGGCGCAGCTGTGCACTGAGAGAAAAAAAAAAGTTTTAAATATTTACTACTAAGCATATTACACATTGTACTTCGCCTTTAAAGTTTTTGCTAAAAAAACTGCTCTCTATTTCATCACACATTTGGATCCGCCAAAAAATTTAACCTTACACTTTCGATGGTCCACCACGAAATAAATCAAAAGCCAACGCAGACAGAAAGATAAGTTTCACATGCACATGTGCTCGAGGAAAAAACAAAAACAAAATACATTGCGATCAGATAAGCGTGACGACGGACAGAGATGTAATGAAGAAACAAGCAAAATTGTTTTTGTTTCGCATGCAAATCGAAGCCCATATGCACGGTGCTTATGCGCGCACTACCCATAAGCACAGAGCTCTACAAAAACAAAAGTGCACTCGGTGCATAGGCGTTGAGCACCCCTGTTCTAGAGGGTTCTAAACAAATTTTGAAAACAATTTTACAAGAAATTGTAGGTAATAAAAAAATTTGCCAAAAAAAAAAAACGGGTGCCCACAACCCACCCAATTTTGGTGCCCACAACCAACTTTCGCAGACATTTTAAGAAGTAATTAAAAAATGTGTTTGCATAAATTTTTTGGTTCAAATCGATATTGTTCCATTTAGTATAATGCTTTGACTAAATAAAAATGCATTACACTTACCATTTTAATCGATTCACTTTAATTGATACACTATTGAAAATCTTTGAATAAAGTTTCACCACCTTTTCCAAGCACAAAAAAAACCAATTCGTTCATTTCAAAAAGCAAACGCGTTCGTTTACTTTGATATTTGGCATAAATTATACATAGGGTAATTGCTTGCGAATGACATTACCAACAAAAGTCAATCTTCATTTTGTGAAAATATACGTAGGGGTGCCCACAACCGACCCATGAACACAACCCCCACTTCTCCCCTATATATATTCTTGATCAACATCACGATTTGAATCGAAATACGTCTGTACGCCTGTCCGTCTGTCCTCCTGTCTGTTTCTATCGAAACTAGTCTCTCAGTTTTAAAGCCATCTTGCTGAAACTTTCCCAAAAGTTGTGTAGCGCATTGCACGCAGTATATAAGTCGTAACTGGCTGGATCGGACTACTATATCGAATAGCTCCCATACGAGAGAATAAAACATGGAGTTTTCTAATAACCCTTGAATTAAGAAAAAACATTTCATTAAAATCCGACAACGTTATCATATAGCAACCATAGGAAAGATCGAAAAATCTATATAGAAATACGGGAAAAAAATTTATTACATCGTTGTTTTTCATCAGACAAGCATAATTTTTGGAATATAGAGTTTTCTAACTACTTTTGAATTACATATAAAATTTCATCAAAATCGGAAAATTATAACAAAGTCGAAAATATGAAAAATTAATGAAAAAAATCGTCATAGTTTCGATGTTGTTTAGCCCTTACGCATTGATATGATGACTGCTAGGGTATATAAGCTTCCGCTAGCCGAAACTAGCTTCCTTTCTTGTTTTTAAAATTTTTCTTAAAGACCAATATGTTGAGAATATTGTGTAAAAATTTGGAGTCAATTAGAGTCAAACTAACGGAGTTACAACGCTTTAAACGACCGAATTTGGACGTATTTTCACGTATAAAAAGACTTTGAATCGATTTTCGAGTTTTTTCAGAACTGAAAATCTACTGAACCGATCCTTTTCAAATTTTTAACACAAATTCTCCACATAAATACGCAGGTAATCAGGAAGAATGAATGAATTTCTCGAGGTAATTTTTTTTAATTTTTTATATTTTTCTATTTTTAAAAATTAAATTAACATCGATTTTTTGATCTAAAATCGCAGTTTTCACTTTCAACATAGTCAAACAAATTTAAAAAAAAACTCTTCCTGATTACCTCGAGAAATATAAGGTATGATGTTCACCGCAAAAAAAAAATTTCCTTAAGCGCTTCGGAAGATTAGCAGCCACAGGCTTATTTCTAAATATTATAATTATTAGCGTGTTAATTTAAAGAACAAAGAAGATTAAAAAAAATGTAAATTATTAGTTTGTTACATGTTTACCCTTGCAGAGGGTTTACAATTTCAGTCAGAAAACTTGCAACGCATTGAAGTAGACTTCGCAGACCCCAAGTGCATAAGCATCACCAACTGAACCGATCTGGCATCTGAATTGTCTGTTCTACGTCTAGCCGTCGGTTATCGCGGTTTTTTTTCTAAATTATTGTTATAATAATAATAATTTAGATGGTGTTTTTTACGACTCTAAAATTTCAGATTGTGTTTTCTTACGACTCTTGAACATGGAAATTGACTTCATAAAAATCGGATTACTATATTATAAATTATACTATATTATAAATTATTAAAAATTAAATACAGATGTTAATTTATCATAATGAAATTATAAAAGTTATAGAAAATTCGCAAAACTAGAGCTAAACTGCACAGTAAACTTTATCGCTGACGAACTAACAATATGGATTAAAAGTCTAGCCGTTTCTACATTAATAGCAAGGGTATATAAGCTATCTTTCTTGTTAAACATTTTCCCGAATTAGCGGCTAAATTCCGGTCTATACGCGTATGGCTAGATTTCAAAATTTTTAATATACACTGTTGCGCCTAAAAACTTATTTTTTATTTGTCAGTTCAGAACAAGTAATTCTGTATTTTAATTAAATACTTTATAAATTTAATCATTTTTTATTTTTCAGGCGGCTCAAAAATTCTACTCCCTTCTTGTGTTAAAAAAGTTTAAGGTGCTTCACATCGCTCAATCAGCTCCCTACGCTGATATTACTATTTCTAAGGGCCCTACATTCGAAAATCCGAAAATATAATGTTAAAAACAACTGCAAGAAGATCTGTCCTGACTCACACCGATATATACATTTTATTTATTTTAATTATAGCAAAAATACATCCAACAATATTTTCTTCGTTTTATTTTGCAAAATTTACGGGCAAAGAGATTTTTACAGTTTCTCAATCGAATATTTTATTGGTAAGTAAGTAAAGTTAAGGAAACTACCGATATTTACAAAGGAATTTTAATATGTTTGTGCCTAAAGAGGGTAAGTTTTTAAAAATATTGTTTTTTTTGCATTTTCTTTTTAAATTTTTTTTTAAAGACCAATATGTCGAAAATATTATGTAAAAATTTCGAGTCAATCAGAGTAAAATTAACGGAGTTACTGCGATTTAAACTACCGAATTTTGACGCATTTTGAAGTATAAAAAACTTCAAAAAAATTTTCCCAAAGACATTATTTTGAAAGTCGGTGAACATTAGAAATCAAAACATACTGAACCGATCCTTTTTAAAATTTCAACACAAATTCTTCACATAGGTAATAAGGATTTTTATACCCTTGCAGAGCAAAAGGGTATTGTAATTTCAGTCAGAAGTTTGCAACGCAGTGAAGGAGACACCTTAGACCCCATAAAGTATATATATTCTTGATCAGCATCACCATCTGAATCGAAATATGTATGTACGTCTGTCCGTCGGTCCGTCTGTCTGTTTCTATGTAAACTACTCTATAAGTTTTAAAGCTAACTTGCTGAAACTTTCCCAAAAGTTGTGTAGCTATTGCACGCAGTATATAAGTCGGATCGGCCGACTATATCGGATAGCTCCAAAACAAGAGAATGAAATAAAAAAATCTTACGCCGTTGTTTTTTATCAGATCGACTTGATTTCTTCCATATGGCATTTTCTAACTACTATTGAATTTCGGATTAAATTTTATCAAAATCGGACAACTCTATCATATAGCTGCCATAGGAAAGATCGAAAAATATATATAGAATTAATGGAAATAAATTGATAACATCTTTTTTTTTATCCCACTAGCATGATTTTTTAAATATCAAGTTTTTTAACAACCCTAATATTGAGAAAAAAGTTTCATAAAAATCGGACAGCTATATCTTATAGCTACCATAGGAAAGATCGAAAAATCTGTATAGAAATAACGGAAATATAATGATAACATCGTTGTTTTTTATTAGATAAGCATAATTTTTGGAATATAAAGTTTTCTAACAACTCTTGAACTACTAATTAAATTTGATCAAAATCGAACAACTATATCATATAGCTCCCATATGATCTATAGTCGAAAATATGGAAAATGAATAGAAAAATCGTCTAAGCTTCGATGTTTTTAGCCTTTATGCATTTTGTTCGACATATTTGATGACTGCAAGGGTATATAAGCTACGGCTTGCCGAAGCTAGCATCCTTTCTTGTTTTTTAACAAGCAGAGCAAGGGGTCATAAGTTTGCAACGCAGTGAAGGAGACACCTCGGACCCCATAAGGTACATATGCTTACATACTCGTATATTCTTTATATTTTGATTATATTTGAGATTAAAAAAATTGAAGCCCAAAACAGTCTCCAAAAAAATTGGAAAAAATTGTCATAAGTTAAATTTTTATGGCAAATTCAAAAACAAGATAAATGTTTTTTTTTCAATTTTTATGAAAAAAATTGATTTTTAATACTTAAAATTAATTTTAATAATTAAAAATTAGTAATACAGTCGACTCTCGTTAATTCGAAACTCGAGGGACTCTTGAAATATTTCGAATTATCGAGTGTTTGAAATATCAAATGGTTCGAAATTTCGAAATTTTCGAAAGAACTTTGTTATACTGGCTTGCTTTAAAGCACAATTCTGCTGCGCACACTGCTCAATAACTGAATAACTACACAAACCAATTCGTAAGAAGTGTGTGCGTCAAATACTACATAATCAAAACAAAAACAAAGGCAAGTTTGAACTTGTCGCAAAATTTTTTTCTCTGCAACTTTGAATTGTCGAGTGTTAGACGCTGATGAGTTCGAATTAACGCGTGGTTTTGTTAAATATCAATGATTTTTTCGTTCGAATTACCAAGTGTATGAAAATGTATTGATTTAGTTCGAAATATAAAGAGATTTCGTAGGGACCTCGTGATAACTTTGAATTATAGAGAGGTTCGAATTATCGCAGGTTTGAATTAACGAGAGTCGACTGTAATTATTAAATATACAATTTTATATAAAAATTACGCAATAACTTTTATTTTGTAATTTTTATTATATAAATTGAAAAATAAAAATTATTCGATAACTTTCATTTTAAAAATTGAAAGGTATTGATGTGTAGAGAATATATATACATATATATTGGATCTGGCTTCTACGGATCAAAAGATATATAGATTCAATCTTTATTTTCAACTAGTAAACCCAGCGAACTCCGTTCCGCCACCAGATGGCGATAGTTTTAGGTAAAATTTCCTTTAGTGTTTAAAAGATGAAGAAAATTTTTGATATGAAAAGGAAAAATTTTATTTCGATACCATTAAAACTTTGGCCATTGATGAGTGTTTTGCAATATTACACGTTGGTTCTTCAATAATTTGAAGATTTAACGGTAATTTTAATGCTGAATGAGCCGTTTGGCATCCTTCTAACAATATGGCTGCTATTCCCGAAGAAGCAACTGCAACAGCTATGTTGGATCTCGCCCGAACAGTTGCTAAAATGACATGAGGAATGCCTTGCCAGTTCCACCAGGGGCATCTAGGAAATATAAACCACCATTTTCTTCATCGATTGCTTTCATTAAAGTATCATAAACTTTCTTCTGTTGGGAATTCAACAGGAGTACATTCGTTTGAACTAACAAATTTAATTCCTGGTGATCATATTCACGTTCCCGTTCTAATTCTCGATTAAATGCCTTATTCATTTCACGATTTGGCGCTGGCATTCTAACCTGATTAATATATTACCGCACATGACACATATCTTCAATCAAGAGTAAAACCCGATTATGTATCTTCTCATTCATCAAATTGTTCACAATCAGGATGGCGACTTCGTCTATTGGTGGAGAATTAAATGTCCTTTCGTGTGTTCCAGATGGTCGTTTATCTGCTTTTATGACAACTTTATAGTCATCATTTAGCATGCGCTCTAAGCACTCTTAAACAACCTGACCATCGCATGATGTTCATGAAACTGCAAGTCTTGAAGAATTGCTCGCTTCATTCCTGTATTGATCCCTAGGCGTCGATCAAGTTGTTCTTCCATATTGCCCATGAAATATATTTTTTAAAATTTTTTTTGTGTATCTTCGAAAGATAGTAATGATCCAATACGCTGGTGAATCTGCCCTTGTATCTAAGATAAAGTAAGTTATTCTTTAACTAAATTCTGTGTAATACCAAAAAAAAAACCTTAAATGTCGGATTAAATCCTCGTTCTTCGATAATATCTGCCCCAAATGACGTCATTTGGAAACAACCATTGTATTTTCGAGTATTTGCAGGAAAGTGGCGTGATTCTTGTGTTTCACCACAAAGCAGTGAATACAATGGCTCAGGTGGCGAAGTCAACAGTGGCAATTTCACTTTACCATTAAAGCAGCATAATCAAGGCGTTTCTCCGTAAAACTTCAACGCACCGCAATACTTGCAAACAACGTCCATTTGCCCAATGCAAACGCTGGGATGCAAGCTGTAATTAGTGATGCAATCGTATTGAAACACTTCTCGATTCAAATCAGCACTTGATAAATATCTTTTGCGTCGCAAATTATCTATTTCTTGACCTCTGTTGTTCTTATTGAGAAGCATGAAGTCGACCCATACTAACGCGGCGCTGTTCACGTGCAATGTTTTGTTCTCCTTCAGTCCTTTCATTTGCAGTATTTTGTAGTCTTCTTGAATTACGGCTTTGTCGGGAAAGATTCGATCGTCTTGGTTGCGGCATTATTAATTAAACTTCACTTTACTTCAATTCACTAAAACCACGAAAAACTTCACTTCACTTCAATTCACCAAAATCACAAATATCTTCAATTCACTTCAAAAAAATTGAGTTAAAATGCTATGGTAGTGTGTGCTTGTCAGTGTGATGAGGTAATAACTCAGTTTATATGCGATTTTTGGTATGTCGAACGGAATAAAAAGTACCCTACGTCCTATTCCGGGCTCTAAGCTACCTTCCTACCAATTTTCAGCCAAATCTGTTCAGCCGTTCTTAAGTTATAAGTGGTGTAACTAACACAACTTGCTTTTATATATGGGACATTCTTTTACAAATCGTACGGATTCGAGAAAATTTTTCATATCTCAGAATTGAATGAAAATTTTTTTCAGCTTCTATGGAAGATTTTATTTGACACGTGTAAAAGGATTTTACTCCAAAAAAAATAGTTTTTTATTTATTTTTTCTATATATTAAATATATTATCCCCGCTTCCAGTAGTCACATAAAAAATTTTTTTTTTTATTCAATAGGTATGCCGTTTAAGTTTTTTACTTGCAATTTTTTTATTTGTCCAGAAAAAAAAAATTATAAACAATTTTATGTCCTACAACCCCAAAAATTGGCATTTTTCGTGCCTCTATTCCGTGCGGTAGATCGCTGTTTTCAGCTGTCTTTCAGTGATACATGCGTAAGAAACTTTACCAAAGCATAACCCGTGCGTAATCGGTTTTACAGGCAGTTTTGCGCGAGATTTTTGGCAGATACGGTACTTCCCGAATGAAAAGGCAACAAAAAAAGCTAGAGAGTAAAGTTGCGGTGCTTTTTGTAGATGCTTTGTGCTTATGGGTAGTTCCCGAATAAGAACCGTGCATATGGGCTTCGATTTGCATGCGAAACAAAAACAATTTTGCTTATTTCTTCATTACATCTCTATCCGTCGTCACGCTTCGCTGAACGCAATGTATTTTGTTTTTGTTTTTTCCTCGAGCACATGCACTGAAACTTATTTTTCTGTCTGCGTTGGCTTTTGATTTATTTCGTGGTGGACCATCGTAAGTGTTATGTTAAATTTTTTGGCGGATCAAAATGAGTGATGAATTAGAGAGCAGTTTTTTTAGCATAAACTTTAAATGCGAAGTACAATGCGTAATAAATAAAAAA